AATATACACCTTATTTTGGACAGAATGGAAGGTACATACGAGGGGTAATATATGTATATATAGTCTGTCGCCATCTGATATTTTCATTGGGAAATTTGAGATAAACGTACTCATTACGGGTTGACCTACGATCATGTGAAAGCGCGCATTTTTGAAGCGTCTTTTTTGAACGCCTGTTTCTATATGAAGGAGTTGACAGATCGAAACAAAATGTAACACGTGTTCATAACAGAGATGGAAGTTTCCAAAACACTTAATTTTTTCTGTTTATTCCTATTTATTCCATTACTATTTGTGCTAGGCCAAGAACTTTCCGAACAGCCCTCGTACATTCAATATTTTATGATCGCCAGGTGTAAAAAAAGATTTGGTCTCTTTAGACCCGAACAATTCGACAATATCTCTAAAAAGGCACAGGCCATTTGGTATAAAGAAATTTTAAAAAATGTTTGATCGTGATCGTCACATGTAACTTTTGAGTGACAGTTTTTTTTATCGATTACTGACTGTCCAACAACCATGAATATTCTTGTGGATTCCTGATGAATGACAAACATGAGAGGCCACACGATCAAAGAAGCAAAATTTGGGCAAGATTGCCATTCAAAAGTGCTAGTGTGTACACCGCTTAATGAATCTATGCTTATAAGCTCGTAAAAAACAGCAATCGACCCGGTAGTCGAAGACGAACCACATCCAACGAAAGTTGTTCGTGAAGAAGCATTTTAAATGATCTCTGGTTTCATCGGAAAAATGACAATATGACGATTGTTCCCATTGTAAAGGGTATTAATCGGTCCACGTTTTGATATACCCCCCCCCCCCTGTAATGATATTCCCAATATTGGGTATTTTGAACAATATTTATTAATATTGGTCCACGTTTTGGTATAGTTTTCTCTCTCTAATAGACATTATTTTTTATTAAGGATTTTCGACACGAATTCAACCGAATATATTATCGCTTTTAAATGTTGTGGTAAATATTTTATAATAAAAATTCAAACTTCGAATATATATTTCAACCGAATTCGATCTTTTTTTTTTGAGTCTCAGTCCTTGGCCAAATTTTTTAACAAAAATTATAAATATCGTTAATACTTGGGTCTATAGGGATTTTTATGGTTCTAGGTGCATTTTTTAATCGGTGGGCTTATATTTTAGTATTACGAAATTACTGAAATTTGATGTTCTGGGACGTTGGCGCGTACAGAACTTCTTCATAAATATTTATGTTTAGGGTCCTGAAGCCAATTTTCCTTCCTGAGTGTCTGAGAATTGGGAAATGTTTTAATTCAAATTCCATTTTTTTTTTTTTTTTTTTTGAAAGGGAATTTATATTTCCCAAATTTCATTATTTTCATTATATTTTCTCTAGTGTACAAGCATTCCTAAGATCAACTCTTCGTAAGAAAATATTTATTGCAGCCATCTAAAGCCCATTACATTCGTCTGGTTGTAAGAGTAAACAATTTCCCGCCATTTTTCTGATTTTGCAAAAAAGCCCACAAACCCGTTGTTTTGACATTACAAAGATATTATTTTAGCATTTTATTTTTTACTCAAGTATTAATTGTCGTCGTGTAGTTTAACTACGCACTCAGCCATTAGTATCTACATATGAAGTTATGATGATACACACATATGTGTACCACACACACACATATATATATTTATGTATGTCCTTTCCAAAACCAAACAAAAAATTATCCTCCTATGTTATATGTAGGTATACACACAACATTTCTAGTTTTAACGGGAGACGGACAATGTCGAAATCATCATCACCATCATTTCGATTTTTCTAGCAAAAATGCCTTTAGTTATACACTATGGAGTGTGAAAAACAGGAAATGGTATACACACACATATCTACATATGTACATGCATATCCTAGCATAAAGTTCAAACACACATCCACACCCACTCACATCCATGTCCACATTATACAATCGCGTTTCCCATATATGTATGTACCTCATCGACATACATATAATCCTGTAATGTGTTAACACCCCTGCCAATGTGCTATTCCACACAACACACACACTCATTACTATTTCCACACATGGACACACACTCCCCACACACGCACACACATATATGCCACATTCTCCGAAGAGAAACTTTCGTTGGAATGAGTGTGTCTGGCAGCACTGGAAGTTAATCCTTTTTTGTGATATACACACACACACAACCCCTTTTTTCTTTTTGTTTTGTGCTGTGCCGTGCAGCAGTCATTGCCATTACTCCATTACTGCGTCATGGCTATTACTTAGGTGCGTGTTTGAGTTTGTCTGGCATGGCATTTACTCTTGAAAGCAGTGATGACAATGGGCCGAGTTTATTTTTGACGGTTTTGCGTTTTTCGTGTTATGAAAGCTTTTTCAGTTTTATTTTGCGGAAAAAGAAAATGGAATGCGAAATTAAAAAATACACAAAAACATAAATAATAAAATAAACAAATTAAAATGAAAAAAAAATAATATTAATTAGATATCTATATGTGTTTTAATTTTATTTAAATTAACGTTATTCGCGGTTTTTGTGTACAAAGTGTCTTTTGAGGGCTACTATCGATATTTAATAATGATAATGTTGATATTGGTTTCAATGAATTCTCCCGCATGACTTTTTACTCTTTTTCATTAACTGAAACCAAGCACTGTTTCTATTCCGACCAAAACACATTCACATGATTTTTGAACGCTATAACAGCAGCTTCTGGCAGCAAAATTGTCACACTATGGTTCGTTTATCGAATATCCCCCGAGGGTCTCAGCCAAACAAACAAACAAAAAGGCATGCACCACTCACAAATGCACTCCTACGTTGTTCAAGCGGAACAGTCGACAAAAAACATTTTTGGATTTAGCGTTTATATACAACACCTCGAAATATTCACCAGAGATATACTTGTTTGGGTTTCCGGTGAATATCTATAGGCGAGGTTTTAATTAGAATAAAGTTAGATGTCGATTTAGCCATGGCTGTCTGGTTATTTAAACCACATACATTTCTACTTCTCCTACCTGAAAAACGTTCTGGTACGACCCACTCATAACCGTCCCCCATAATATTCGGTATTTTGGAAAAGTTTTTTTAATCTAATTGGTTGTAATTTGGTATTTATAAGTTACCATTGGGTAGCAAATCTTCCTAGTTTGGGCATGTTTTTCAACCAAATTGCTTCTAATTTTATATATTGGAAAAATCTTCTACCAAAAATGATCAGTATTGTCCCAAGTTTATGAAGAGCATATTTTTTATTTGGAGCGCTCATTGGGTTGAAAATCTTCCTACCGGTATGTTCAAGGTCTTAACCCAATGGCCATATGTTATAGTCCCGATTGATTGGGTATTGTTATTTTGACCCGGCCAATTTAACGACTCTTTTTTTATCAATCGACACAAACCTTTTTTAAACACTGTAAAATTGTAGCGGAACCAACAGGAACATATAATTTTAAATATTGTCCTTATTTCACTTGGACTATATAAATTAAATAAAACAAAATATATTCATTTCTGTACCTGTCATAATAACTGTACAAACATTTCCGATCGCCAACAAAAACCATATTTATATTCTCTCCAATTGGACTAACATATTTTCGCCAGTGTCATTTTGCTCTTTCCAATTTACGTACCGCTTTCCAATAAGAATTTATTTACATTTTTTGTCAACGACGGACAACTCGTTTCGGTGATTTGTGCGGAAAAAATATTTTTTTAAGTGGGAAAAACCAAAATAAGAAGCGAAAATTTTTATTATTTACTTCAAATACGTGATATTCTACAATAACACCAAATAAAATCAAAGAATAATATACAATAAATAGCTAAATAAGGCAAACAAAAAAAGCCAAGTAAAAAGTAATGCACCACCACCATAGAACTACTTTATTACTGTGAGCAAGCAGCAGCAGGAAGAAGAAGCAATTGGTAGCAGACAAAACAAAATAAAGCAATAATTTGCAATAAAAAACAAATAAGCTAAATACGCTAAACAAAAAGTTTGTGGTATTGTCAAAAGTGTATTTTGCAAATATTAAATATAGTGTTAAAAGATTTTTTTTTTCAATTCTGTGCCAGCTTTATCATGTGAAAATCTAAAGTAAAAAATCGATTGGAAATTCGCCTATACATACATACAAAAAGTAGAGTGAGAGAAACTAGCGCGCCAATAAGAGACAATAGAAAAAAGAGAACGAGAATATCTCTCCCTTCCAATGCCATGTAGATGACATTGGAATTACTATACGCACACACATACATATATACGCGACACAAACACCCAACGGACACACGCGTAATTTGTTCGTATATTGCAAGAAACTCGCATAACCAAACAGTAGCAGCAACAGCAAACGAATAAGAAGAAGAAGAAAAATACCCATATTCACCGGGAAATGACAACACTGTGGCCAAAAAGCGCAATTTATTCATTGATAGATGTGGTGTTTTACTCGTCGTCGTCGTTTTATTGTTGATAGTGATGTTGTTGTAAAACTAATAAAGTGACATCAGTCGTTGTGAATGATCAAAGAAGAAGTAAAAAAATAAAAAAGAAAATCGTAACAAAAAAGCAAAGGCACAGTGAAAAAGAAGAGACAAAACAAAATCCAATTGGAAATTGACTAATTTATACACAGATGAATTTGATCATTCCTATTAGCCAATGGGAAAAGTGTTGATTTTCAATGTGGAATAAAAGAAAACATATTGTGCTACCACCATCACCACCACCAGCAACGTCGCCACCGCCACTTACGACAACGTCTACTTCAACAAACACAACAGCAGCCTTTAGCATTATCATCAGTTAAGCATTTTGTTCTTTCTACCCAGCAACAATAAATTTGTTGTCAACTGTTGTTGTTCCACGGCGGCTTTACTACTCTACACATATTGTTAACAACAAAAACAGTGCCACCACATAAATCTATAATATATATAATATATTACGTATAGATTTGTCGTCCTCTCTTTTAGACGACAAACGACTGCAACAATTGTTCCTTTTTTCGTAAATTTGTCCTTGTTTGGCGCTTTTGTACAAAGCAATGGAATCTGGTCCCAATGGGATAAAAGTTGAACCGACACTTGAACAACAACATCTACAGCAGCAGCACCAGCAACAACAGCAGCAGCATCATCACCATCAGCAGTATCCCACCAATCTGCTAGCTCTCAATGGCTCGAATGCACGCTTACTTATCGATCATCCGCTGTTAGTACCGCTGTCGCATCATGAACAACAATTACAACAACAGCTACAGTTGCAGCAGCAGCATCAACATCAGCAACAACTCCAGCAACACCATCTACAACAGCAACAGTTGCAACAGCATTTAGCTTCTCAACAGCAGCAACAACAGCAGCAGCAACAGGCGGATCAACAGCAGCAGCAACAGTTACAACAATTGCAACAGCATCAACAGTTGCAGCAATTAACTGCCGTCTATCCACAGCCGTTGTCGCTTAAACAACAACCCCTTCCTACACCAATTGTTAGTAATGCAGTTGCCAGTGTTGGTGCCCCGGTCGGCGCTGGCACAGGCGGTGTAACTACCACAGCCTTGGGCCCGGCCTCTATCACATCTTCAACCTCATCGGCTGTTCGACATCGTTGGAATGAAAGTCCCGAAGCTAGAGCTCGACGCCTAGCACGCAACGCTGAACGAATGCGGGAACGACGTAACCGCGAAACAGAAGAAGAATATCGCAAGCGGCTGGCCCGCAATGCCGAAGCCAATCGCCTACGTAGACAAAACGAAAACGAAATGGAGCGGGCAATGCGCCTAGTACGTAATGCCGCCCGACAGCGTCTGCGTCGCGCCATGGAATCTCCCGACCAGCGGTCCAAACGACTGATCAAACTTGCCGAACGTATGCGTATGTATCGAGCCAATGAGACTCCCGAACAGAGGAAAATACGGCTGGCCGAGATGGCATCACGGGCCCGTCAACGTATTGCCAATGAATCGCCGGAATCGCGTAAGGAACGACTGAAAAAACTCAATGAATATGCAAGAAAGGTCAGAGAAAAGAAAAAAATTTTAAAAACTGGCGCGGCGCAGACTCCGAATTCCATCCAGAATTCGAATACGACGACGCAAAGCGCTACAAATAATTGTAATAATGACTCTTTAAATCTAAATCATCAGGCACCAGCATCTGCATCGACAACAAGCGGAACCACAACAACACCGGGCAGTGGTGGTGGTGGAGGCGCAGCTGGAACAAATGGTAGCGGCAATTCTGCAACGCCAACCGGCAATGAGGATCTCTCCCGGCAAGGTAGCGCCAATGGAACTGCTGGAGGTGGAGGAGATCCACATCAATTAGCTGCATCATATCAACAGGCTGCCGTCCTGGCTGCCAATCCCATTGAATACTATCAGAATATGTTTATTAATCCAACAACGTTACGCACAGGTAGTGCCACCATCTTGAAGCAGGAACCACAAACACAACCACAACAACAATCTAATAGTAGCCTACAACAAAATCGCTTTGGCACACCACACCAACAGCAAACGGGGGGTGGAGGTGGAGCCGTAGGTGGTGCCAGTTTGCTTGTCGATTCGGAGGCATCAAATCTCTTTTCACAGCATCTGTACGATGAGGCATCACAAAAGGTATCCATTAAACTGCCACAAACAGCAGCTAATGTTCCTCATTTCAGCACAATCGCTAGCTCATTAGATTTATATCAACAACAGAATAAGTATGCTAAGAAGCAGGAGCTTCAACAGGTGGGTATGGTGTCGAACTGAACATGTTTTAGTTTCTTCACGTTTATACGCCCAATTCTAGTTGCGTTTAGGCCAATGAAGAGAAGATAGTTTTGTCCATAGTTCTAATAATTTAAGGATAATACCAGAAAAGTGGGAAAGAAATGCAATAGCCATATTTCATACATCTGTATAGAAAATTATATACTTGACGTATTGTGCTAGGTGCCGCCATAGGGATTTATTAGTTTGTACCTATGGTCGGGTATTTTATGTATTTTTTCATTTCTCTAGTTATTATTAATTAGGCGGCTCAATGGTGGAGGTGTGCAAAAGTGACCAGAGTGTAGGCTAAAGGTAAGAAAAGGATAACAAAACCATTGAAATTATTATTTCAAATCAATGATTAAAATATAGATACATTGTTTTTTAGATTGATACATAGGTGACTGATGCAATGTGGAAATTGGTAATATTTTATGGAACTCAGTTCATTAAAGCAACAGCAGGTTTCCTAATATTGTTTCTCTCAGGAAATACCAACACGAGCTGTGAACCATCTAAGATGGAGTCTGATGGTGCGCATGGTCCATATTTCCTGAGATATGATTATGTCAAGTTCCGCTGGGGCCTTTATTATTGTTGTTGTTGTAGCATCACTAATGCTTATACACAATGGGCTGAGGGCTACATACTTTGGTCGTGTAAGACTCGGGTCGTTTCGGATCGTAGACCCCTCTGTCGTGGAAACTTGCTTTTAAAAATGCACTAAGGATATAAATTTGACGTGGTTGCAGTGCCGATTGAAAACATTTAATCAACCTATAAAAGAAAGTATTAAATTCCCGTCCAAAGGTCGGCTAATAACAAACACTAATCTATTTAAATGGAAATGCTGTCGCGTAACGAATTTGGTCAGGTATCCATAATATAAGGTCTATATAAGGATCCCTGTGGAATTTTCCCATATTTAAAAAAGTATGTCACTATTTGCTATATATCTGCAATATGTCAATCCCCGATTTGAATGTATGGCGGTTTTTTTTTTGCAATTCACTGACTTCTAGAGTGTATACCTAATATTTAATATTTCATGTTTAGTGTTCCTTAAAAGATTTTCCAATGTCCACCAATTCTAAAATGGCAGAAAATATTTAAATTTAAAATATATGCTTTAGATACATGTTCAGTTTGAGAACAACAGCTTTAGTAGATTGAAGAAGTTTTAGCAACTATACATCCGCCCACCCACATACCCACCCCCTTTAGTTGATAGGAATTTTGTTTAGTATTTCCAAAAAACGATGCCAAATATAAATGTTTCCTTAGAAAAAAAAAATATTTATTTACATATATTGTTATCTTTTTCTGATTTTATAAAACAAAAATATATGTATGTATGTGCAAATTGTTGTTGAATAATTTTTGGTTCATTATTCAAAAATGTCATTCCATAACCAAATCAAAGAAATATAATTGAAGCACCATTTTGATACTTAAGCAAGACATGACATGCGTGCATTATTTTAGACAAACAACAACTCACCAAGCAGTAATATCAACAACAGCGGGTCTGTTGGAGGAGTCTCTAGCGCTGCCAGTCAAAATGAGAAAAACGAGGGACAAAAACTGAAGACAACACATCCACAAATACAAAATCCTCCCACACCACTCTACAATCAATTTCCATATTTGGCCACATTTCCAGCGGCTGCCACAGCAGCTGCAGTAGCAAATACCACAGTTGCAGTTACCACACCGCCGAATACACCAACACAAACGGCTCCCGCTGCTGCTTACTATCCCATGTATCATAATGGCTTTCAGTTGGGCATAGCACCGAATACCGTACCGCCACCATTTACTCCGGTACATTTTACCACAGCATCGAATGCAGTGGGAGGATCCACGACGGGATCATCGCCGCCTAATTCGGGTACGCGCAAAATGCTGAAGGAGAGCGGCGGCTCCTCTTCGCGATAGAACTAATTTGTTATTGTTATTGTACTAACGTCAAATTTTCTTTTCTTTTGTGTTTTTGCTTTGTTCCTTTGTTTGTCTTATTTCCTTTTCCTTTCCGTTTTTTGTGTGTGTTCTGTGTATTCTCATCTTGTTATTGTCACAAAATTCTGGCGACATGACCACCTGAGCAGCCAGTCAACAACAACAGCCGCAGCAGCAGCAACAACAGGCACAACAGCAGCAGACACATGTTATACAGGATTTTCCAAAAGCGGTCCGCGGTCGTCCTAGAAAGCTGATATTTAACAACAACAGTAAAGATCCATTGAATATGTCGCCGGACGATATACTCCTGCAACAGCATCAACAGAAAATGAGTGCACTGCTGGAGCAAGAGATCAATCAAATGTTAGCCTCACCACAGTTGACACAGCGACGCGGACGTGGTCAATCATATCAGCAGTTGGCGCAGTTGCAACAGCAGCAGCAACAACAGCAACAGCCACAGGAAATACAACTTCAGCAAATACAACAGCATCCGGACCAGCAACAACAACAGCATCAGCAGCAGCAACAACAACAACAAGATCAACCACAACAGCAACAACATTCCCAACTATCACCCATGCCGCGTAAACTCAAATATGAAAACGACGAAGAAAAACGCAAACGCTTGGAAAAAATGGCCGCCCATCAACGTGCTCTGCGTGCCAATGAAACGCCTGAACAACGGGCAGTGCGTCTACAAAAGTTAAGCGAACGTGCGCGTCAAAAACGCGCGGAAATACGTGCCACCGAAACACCCGAGGAACGGAAAATTCGCCTTGCCAAACAGGCGGAATATGCACGAATGCGTCGCCTTCGGACACACACACCCCATTATAATCGTGTTAAACTGGAAAACGATACAGCTGGCGGTGGTAGTCGCGGTGATGCTGCGTCACCCTCAACGGATCTTTACGGTTCAACTGGTGGTGCCTCAACAAATGGCTACGATACCAAAAATAATATCTCGGCTGATTTACACAGCGCAGGGAGTTTAAGTGGTGGCAGCTTATCGCAGGAGAGTAGTCCTTCAAATAGTCAGGATCATCAATTACAACAGCAACAACAACAGCAGCAGCAACAACAACATCAACAGCAGCAACAACAACAACAGCAGCAACAAATATTAATGCAACAACGTATGTTGCAAACACCTAATCTTCTCAATCACATCAGCAGCAACAACAACAATAATAATAATTTTTTAAAACAGCAACAAGGCAAGGATTTTAATAATCAAACAAATTCAACAAATCAACCGGAAAACAATAACGACATGTTAAAAATTCTCGAACCCATAATTGTTATGAAAACAAAATAAGAAAAATAGGAAACATAGAAACAAAAAACACAAGAGAGACCATTTAAAAAACAAACACACTAACATTGTATTGACAATATGGAAATGAAGATATTGTTCTCTGTCCGGGCAGGACATTTGTAAATTGGTAATTCGGCGAAGATATGCACATTTTTAATATCTGAAATTAAAATTGTATAATAAATTTGATATCACACACACATACACAAATATTTCCTATTCTATTCAGTAATTGTAAATGTTTTTTTTATTTACAAAAAGGTGACATGTTGATTAAGGGCATATGTCTTGCTTTTTATGGCTCCCATTACTATCACAACATGGCAAAAGCTACATGTCTTCCCGTCTATAACTATAATAATTTGAAAGATTTCATTTGGAATGCAATTTTAAATTCAAAATATTTAAGTTGAAATTCGATTATTCTATTTGTAAATTTCAATTACATTATTTTAAACAATTAATTTTCAAATGGAATTCTCAAACTAATTTATTTTTGTCAGACAATACCAACTTTGAAAAACAAATTTTGATTAGATTAAAGTGTGTTTGGTTAAAATGAATAATGAATAAAAATGAATAATTTATATTAAACGTTATAACTTTATTTGTATTTTTTTTTAATTTCTAAATTTGTTTCGACAAGATGGCTGGCCATCTTTCGTTTTGGTTACATATCTATTTTAAAATATATAAAATGAGGAATTTGTTTTTTCTTGTTATTCGGGTTATGAGCCTAGTTTCCAAACCAAAATATTTAAACTGAAACTTAGTTTCACCTAAGCCAACATTAAATGTATTCCCATATTGAGCTGCTGGGGCTCAATTCTTGTTCTATAAAAAAACTGAAATGAAAACTTTCAAAATGTTCATTCAACATTTTAATTCAATTTTACATGTTTACATAGAACAAGAATTGATTATATTTACAATTGTCCTTTTGCCAAAGAACAAGAACAAATATTTTCATAAAAGTCTTTATAAAAAAATGGTCTCCAAAGTCATAAAAAATTCTACATTCAACAAAATCCTAATATTGAAATAATAATAAATATAGAGCCACACAACCACACAAATTATATTCATATATATACATATTTATATGCATACCACTTAAAATAGCAATCACTAGAAAGAGAGAGATACAGGCAATGTGACCACAATTATATATTCTATCATTGATGATCTAATTTTTACAAAGATATTAATTCAACCATCTTGTAATATATATAAATTTTATTGCTTACTTTAAAACATATACATATTTTTTTGTAATAAGTTTAATGTCAAGTCTATTGTCTATTTCATTTTCTCAATATCATTTTTACTACCAGTAAACGAGAAAATTGTTTGTTTACATCAGTACAAAGACAAATGGCCGCTTTTTTAATTCTATTCAAACGGCTTCGAGAGTGCGAGAAAAAAAGTAATTCCAATGCCCTGTTAATTAAAAACCATTAAAAAAAGAAGTGTAATGACTCACTCGAATTAGCTTGAATCAAATTTTTTGCCTGATATGTCCAGGATCCCAACACTAACGTTGAAACGAAATTTAAAGTCGGTACGCTGACTACAAAAATTTTGGGTATCAGATCGCTTTACACACCAACGTTAAAAATTGGTTATTTAGGGTCGCCTGGTTTATTTTAGGATCAGAGGCACTTGTCATAACTGTCTGATCCTTGAATTTGTTAAATCTTTTCACTGTCCGCCACATATGGACTCATCGATAGCATACAGCTTTGCTCCCGGTAGAAATAAATAATTTATTAGGTTCATTCGTGTACTTTCCCAGTAACATTTACTCAGTAAGAATTTCCAAAGAGTAAAATACGATTTTTTCGTTCTCAAGAAAGAAAATTACAAAAAGTAAAATAATTGTATCGACACAAACAATGTGGCGCAAACAAAAATGGATAAAAAGCGGAAAATTGATGTTGTTTATAAATGCTTTTCGGTTCTTCATCCATTTGAATGTTTAATGATACTAAGTCAATAGGTTCGTTCGTTTACTTTCCCAGTAATATTTACTCAGTAAGAATTTGCAGAGAGTAAATACGAATTTTTCCTTTTCAAGAGAGAAAACTGCAAAAAGTAAACGAACAACATCCAGTAAAAATATTGTTTCGGCACAGCTGATTAAAACAACAAACAAATTGGCGCAAACTAAAAAACAGCATTTTTATTAGAAAAATGGATAACAAGCGGAAAATGTATGTTGTTTGTTCCCCACAAACATTTAAAAGGGTTGTGACCTGTTATTCCTGTATCTGCAATTGATATTGGGGTGGACATAACCGATGGTGTTCCAGACATGTTAGGGATGCACACTTTTTTGTTTGGATTGGGACCTAAAAAATCGTTCGCCAATTACTCTCGTATTACCTTATTTTTAAATACTTGCGTTTTCTTCATCCATTTTGGTATTTAATGATACAAAATCAAAATAAAATTCACAAAACAATCAATTTTCTTGAGAACAATTTTTTGTTTGTTTACAAAACATAACAAAACAGCTGATTAAATATCAGCTGATGGTACAAGAAAATTCTTACTGAGTAAATTTTCCTTGTAAGAATTTGCAAATACTCAGTAACACAACTGTCAAATCTGCTCTCTCAATTCACTCTCTTTTACCGGACTTTTGGGTAAACGAACAACATTTTGTAATAATTTGTACAAATTCGTACAAATTATTGAGTAAACGAACGAACCTAATATAAAATTCACAAAACAATCAATTTACTTGAGAACAATTTTGTTGTTTGTTTACAAAACATAACAAAACAGCTGATTGTACAAGAGTAAATTTTCCTTGTAAGAATTTTCAAATACTCAGTAACACAACTGCCAAATCTACTCTCTCAATTCGCTCTCTTTTACCGGACTTTTGGGTAAACGAACAAAATTTTGTAATAATTTGTAAAAATTATTGAGTAAACGAACGAACCCATTAATTCATTGAAATATAATTTTTATTGCGATATTTAAATTTCTATTATTTTTTATAATACTGAAATTATTATAAAAAAGAATGCTTAAAGAAAAGTAAAACAATATTATATTTATATTATTATAAGATGGTAGATATAGAAAAAATAAAACAGCAGATCCCAATAAATATACATATAATAATGTGTAGTTGAACAAGTAAAAGTAGTGGACTATGTAATATTAACCCTAGAAAATCAACAGCAACAACAATATATTTGAAAATGTGATGAGAGGAGCCTAAATACATATGTAACAAAAACAACAGCAACAACAATAAAATATATAATAATAACAAAACAAGAAATAACCGAAAACCATTTAAATATATAACACACAAAAAGATAAATAAACTAAAACACACTCCCTAATATGCAATAAATAATGTATTTATAGAAGGACAAAAAAGAAACCCCTTTTTTTAAGTTTAACAACAAAAACTACATCAACAAATTCTTCAATAGCATTAACACAATATATTTTATAGTTCAGAAATAAGAAAATAAAAAAACACACACAAAAATACCCCCTGACTATACTTGAGTGTGGAATAGTTATTATCTCCTCATTATTATTACTATGAGTTTATAAAGTTTATGTTGCAAAAAATAACAATGTTGTTTATTATTTTTTATTCCTAGTTTTATTTTAATAACACTATAATATATATTTTATTTTCAATTCGTTATCTTTTTTATTTCGTATGTAGAAAGAAAATGTATACATAGACAACATATATATATATACAAAGTAGGAAACCACAACATCAATTTATGAAAACATATACATAAATATATAATAATATATTATTAATGCTAAGATTGTAAAACTATACGATTTATGTTAATATTAATTACTGTGTAATAATAATAAATAACAACAATAACAAAAAATAAAACTAAACTGTAGTACCCCTCCCAAAAACAAAAAAAAAAAAGATATACTTTTATGAAAAACCGCAAAGAAAATGAACAAGAAAACATTACTATATTATATATGAATACTATATATACATATATATATTTATACAATATATAAAAAACATAATATTCATATACATGCATATATACATACATAATATTAATACTTGTATACATGATGAGCGCATAAACATAATTAAAAAAAACATGTATGATTGATTATTATGATACAAACAAACAAAAAAGAAAAACAAAACATAATAAAGTCAATAATTTTTTAAAGTAGTAAAAATGTGAGTTATTTTTTATTATATACTGGGCTTACGATACGATGATTTAGTAAGAAGGAACTTCACTCATAAACCCTTTGATCCCGGATATAAGAAAAACAATCTATGTAAAATGGCATTTACATTATAATTTTTTACCGGGTTACAGTACGCTTACATTTAACCGGATTTCGTTAACCCAGTGGGTTTCAATTGTCATTTTCTTTGCATATATGTCAAATAAATCCTCATAAAGTAGGTTAACCCGGTAAAAATTTCTAATGTACAAGGAGTTTTAACCTGCTTTATGAGGATTTATTTGGCATATATTCAAAGGAATTGACTATTTAAACCACTGGGTTAAATAAATCCGATATAGTGTAAACGTACTATTATTAGACTGAAACTATTTCAATCTCGTCTTCACAAAGAGGTAAGTAAATCAACAATAAAATTCTTGATTGGTGGACAGTCGGAGAGTTTTTTCGGAGAGGGAATGGCAGAATCATCTAAATAACCATATGAACATTGGTCACCATCTACCATCTAAAATGATGACCCTTACGCTGGGTTTTTTTAACTGAGCCTTGCACCTGTACGTTTCAACAGGGGTTTCAGGCGTAGCTGTCAAGTTATTGATATGCTACGACCAAACAGATAAAGAAGACAAAACCATTGACCACCGACCATTATTTTTCTTTTGAAAACTTGACAAAATAAATGCAAACAAGGTGAGGCAGCCACTTTTGAAGGCAAATTTTCGTAAAATTAAAAAAAATAAAAGGTGGATTTCTTTATATTGAGGACACCTAGAATCATA